ACGGCACCAAGAAAACCAATTACTACGTTTTCCGGCGGGGGCCGTCGACGAAGCCGTTTTTCAATTGGGCGGGTAACCTGTCCTTAGTCACGGACGCGGTCGAGAACGGCTGGTCGTAGTTCGGTTTCACGGCCTATACGCCGTCGCGTTTTTCCCCCTTTTATCAACCATAAATTGACCATTTTACCCCCCCCCCCCCCATATTTAATAAACAAGGGAATGTGTTTTTTCGGCCAAAATTCATAGGTGATTTGGCTAGGAGGACCAAATGTGTGAAAAAAACATAGTTAAATGACTAAATTGTTAGTTTTAAAAGTCACAAACTGAAATTACCACTTCCCCTATAGTCATAGGACCAAAAGTGTAATTTTCTCTTTTTTTTTTTTTTTATTTGTCAGCTTTTTGTTTATTCATTTTTCCTCCATGATTATCTCTCCTATGTTTACCTAAAAAACCACACAAAACACTGCTACTATGGATGCTCTAACTTCAATTGTTCACATTTGGGGCACTAGTTAGGAGTGTAAATGAGCCGACTCGCGAGCGGCTAGGCCAAAACTCGGTCAAAATCGAGCTCGAGCCACTCGTTTACTTATCGAGCTCAAGCCGAGCTCACATATCCTATGCTCGTGGCTCGACGAGCCGCTCGCGAGCCTTATATATAATAATAATAATAATAATAATAATAATAATAATAATAATATTATTATTATTATTATTATTATTATTATTATTATTATTATTATTATTATTATTATTATTATTATTAAAAATTAAAATTTTACTCCTTTCTAAGGCTTACCCTACTCCAGTACTCTCGCACTCCCGCACCCGCACCCGCGCACTCCCACCCCCATCCCCCCAAACCCTAACTCTAGAGTCTGGAAGACTGTCGTCGTCGACGACATGGAGACGAGATACGAAGACACGGGAAGACTGCCGGTCGACGACGATGACCCTTGTCTCTAACTCTCTGGGTTCCACATTTGCCGATGTCGAACTAACGAAGTTGCTGCAGTGCTGCCCGATAGTCGACTAGTCGAGACCGGACGAAGCTACGCGGATTCCCATCGAACCCAAACTCGAGCTCAAAATCAAGCTCGAATAATCGAGCTACTCGAGCCGAGCTCGAACTGTTCAAAAATTATCGAGCTCAAGCTCGAGCCAACCCACGCTCGAGCTCGACTGGACTCTTTTACACATCTAGGCACTACTATCAAATTATTGTCACATTTCATTTCGATCAAATTTTCTATTGACAATCTTGTTTCATTTTTAATTTATCAATAATACTACCAATATAACTAACTATATTGAACTATGTGGTTTGCATACTATTCAAATTTAAATAATATGAAATAAAATTTCAAATAACTAACATGATTGTCATGTGGAGATTATGACTAAACATGCTTGAAAAGTAATTAGAATGACCAAATGTGACACAAACTTTGATAATCATGCACCAAATGTATATAGATTGATAGTTAATGACTAAATGTGTGAGAAGTATAAGAGTTGTGGATTGAAAGTGCAAATAACTTAACTTTAGTCATTTTTTACCATATATGTGTTCAACTTCAAGTTAGACTCACTATGGAGTATATATTGCATGAACTAAGTATTTAATGGTTTTGTTCTTTTCAACCTTCTCTCCTTATTATAGCCCACTTTACATCGTTAACTTAACAAACAACCTTATTAATTACATATATGAGAGTGAGCTTAACATTATTAAAACTACACCATTCATAACTTTTTAGATTTTGAAACACTCCAATACAAACTTGGCACATCAAAGCAAACCCAATGGTTTTTTTTTTTTTTTTTTCATGGCCAGGTGGATGAGAGAAGAGAGGAGAAATAGATGTGAGGGTGTTATTACAAGTATTGAGTCGTTTCTTCCGGGTTTAAGAAAGGTGAATAAAATAGGTGTTTGTGCGCGTTGCGTGCACCAACACTACCCAACGAGTGCAGGCAATGCATTATCCCACTAGGAGCAATTGGCGACCACCCTTCTTTATTGTAATTATGTATTTTTTACCCCTCTTTGTTCTTGTTTTCATAACAAAACTACAACTTACTTTATAATCATATATAGCCATTGATCTCATAGTATACTTCTACAAAAATTATACATTCACACAATTGTTGTGGCCATATTGTAGGATAACGTGATATAGATAGCTAAATATTTTTTTATACCTTATAGAGACTCCGACAAATCATTTAACCCCATAATTTATCCTAGTTAATAAGCATATGTTAACACTTGATTGCACATCATGAGCACACCAATATGCAACAATGTTGGCTTACCTTCATTGCATTAGTAAACAAACTTATTTTTAATCACTACCAAAATAGTTTTTCAAATAAATTTTTATTTCATTAAAAATTATTATTATCCACCCACAGCTCCCAATGTCGACTTCACGAGATGTATGTATGTGTTGCCAAGCTAACTCATCATGTATCATCATATCATACACAAGCAGAATATATATATATATATATATATATATATATATATATATATATCATAATAATCGTATTACATTAAATTCATTATACAACAAAAGTTTAACAACTACTACAAGTTTCACTCTATAACGTCCAAAATAAGTTGGAAACGTTTTTGGTAAGACAATATGTCGAAGATTCACTAACTTTCGCTCATGACACACCTCCTAATACATTTGAAATTTAGTTTGATCAATCTTACCATGTTCAACATTAATTTGAAAGGTTTCTGGTAAGATAACTTAACCAGGATTCACATACATGCCACATATTCCAAAATGCAGACATCTAGTTTTACCCGTAACGGTTTCGACCCCACTTGTCTCTGGTTCTACCCGTAATGAGTATCCCCACTTGCCAATCATCCTTAATTACCTAAATTAACATATCGCATACATTTACAAGTTAAATATATTTTAATTTATTGCATTTTCACGTACAGATCAAACATATAAATTTATCATATTATAAAAATATATTGAATAAGATCCAATTTAAAATAAATATGTATTTCAAATGTTAATACCTATAAATGGTATTTAGTTTAATGTCGACTAAACATCCAATTTATTTGAAATAAAGGCATTATAGCTAGTCATTGTTGTATACTTGTATTCATGCATGCCAAGTTAATTAAATATGTAATACAATCGTCAATCACCTTATGTTCAGATGACACTTCTGTGACTCCCCGTGAAGAAAGGTCATACGATTGAACCCCAGTGGTGAGGTTACTTTAACTCATGAACATAACAAACAACCAACCTTATTAATCACCTCTACCTCTATGAGTGTGAGATCAACATTATTAAAAACTACACCATTCGTAACTTTTTATATTTACAAACACTTTAATATAAACTTAAGCTCATCATAGCTGATGGATTTTATGAGTTTGTTGTCAAACTTTTAAAACATGCGGTTCTGCGCGTTGTATGCACTAGTGTTACCCAACAACCACGTGCATTGCACGTGCCCTCTAAGAGTATTCGGGGGTCGTCAGTTGGTGACTATATTAAAAAAAAAAAAAAATCTCTCCCTCTTGGCTTAACAAAAATTTACATTATTTTAAATCACTAACAAATAACGTCTCAAACTATTTCCAATCTCATTAAAAAATATTATCCACTCGATAACCCCTAACCGGTCATGTATCATCACATCATAAATTCCATTAAACAACAAATGCTTAACAACTATCCGCATTTCAGTATTATAATGTTCAAATTTAGTTAGAAAAGTTTTTGGTAAGACAACTTGGCTAAGATTCACTGACCTTGGCTCATGGCACATTTTTCGAGATGTTGACATCTAGCCTAGATCTATACGTCTTACAATATCCAACATCAGTTGGAAAGATTTTTGGCAAGACAAGTTACAAACGATTCATTGACACTAACTCGCGCGTGTCACATCTTTCAAGACGTTGTCATCTAATTATACACTTATACTCATAACAGTTTGACCCCATTTGGCAATCATCTTTACCTAAATTAACATATTGTCTATATTTATAAGTTAAAATATTTTAATTTCATTTATTTTCACATACAGGTCAAACATACAAATTTATCATTCTTACAAGAAGATATTAAATGAGGACCCAAGTTGTTTGGACTAGGAAGAGGGGAAAGCCGAGCACCCGGCATGATGACTTCACTTATGCAGGGAGACCAAAGAAGTTATCTAGCAATATATCCATGATGTTCGGAAGGAGGGCTGGTAATCTCCTCCCACCTTTGGATGTGTGTACCCGCAAGTCTCGCCAGGAAGTCAACTGCCTGATTATGCTCACTAAAAACGTGCTCGATTATGATGTCCCAACATGTCTTCATTCACTCACGACAATATAATTATTTTTATTTAAGTCAACTGACTGATTATGCTCACTGAAAACGTGAACGGTTATAATGTTCCAGTATGTCTCCATCCACTCAAAACAATGTAATTATTTTTATTTAGTATAATATAATTTCTCCGTCCCATTTAATGTGTCTGGTTTGATTAACGAGGCTTGACTGAAGTTATTTTTAATTCAAATTTTCATAATATTAAGTTTAGTATTATTATACAAAAGTTATATATTTAGAAACTACACTAAAAATAATATTAAACAAAAAAAATTAAATTTAAAAATAAGTAAAAAATAATAAAAAAAATAAACAAAAAAGAAATAGTTTATTTGACTAATGAATAAGTAGGTAGGAGTATAAGACAGATAAAATAAAACAGATAGAGTATATAATTGTACATGATATTATTTATACCGTGTGAATTAGTATTGTAGAAATGTTAAATTATTAACTAGAAAAATGGGGTAATAATTAGTAATTATTAAATTTTAATGTAATTATTATGGATTGAGAATGGATCCCCACCCTGATGTCAAGGTGGAAGGGTGTGAAGTATACTGTGGTCGTCGTATTAAATTTTTTACGGTTATAGTCATCATTTGTATATTCTCGTATTTTGATGTTGGCTGTTCCGTAAAAGAAATAAGAAAAAGGGGAATCTGCGAAAGGCAAAAAATTTGCCTAGGTTTAGGGTTTCGTTATCTTTTCTGTTCTCTCTCATAATTACCTCACCCCTCATCAACTCACAAGATTGTCGATTTCCTTATAATTTACTTTTTATACCGCATACTCTCATTGAAGCTTCAATCTTTTTCGCATTTTCTTTCGAGATCGAAGATTCCGAGTTGTTTCGTCTTCTGTATTTCAACTGGTTTTTTCATTTTCTTTTCGTATTATTCCTAAATTATTGTGTATCCGAACGATTGCAGTGTTTCTTGTATCCCTTAGGGTAATGGCTGAGCCTTTATTTGTTCTGATCAAATTTCCGTCATTTTAACAAAGTACTGAACATTAGTTTCAGCAGGTAGCCGAAGAAAAAATCCTTAAACTTTTTTTTTTTTTTTCTCAGGGAATTTATATTTGGTGAATGGAGTCATGAGCTTTCGTCTAATTGTTTGATTTGGGTCACATCCCTTGAAATATCGGCACTTATCAGATTTGAGCTTTGGCTGTTTACTGGATTTGAAGGTATCTGTGGGAGTGAATGTATCCTGCTGGAATGGATTATGCTCGGGAAAGCAGCACAGTGTTAATCACTACTCGGTTTGTTTGGCCATATGGAGGAAGAACTGTGTGCTTGAGTGGTACATTCACAGGGTGAGAATTTATGGAACTGGATTCCCCTTTTATGTAGTTTAGTCTAGTTTCAATTTTGTGTTTTACTAACGTGTATGTAGAATTGGTATGCAGGTGGTCACAGTGGCCAATGACTCCTGTAGAGGGTTGCCCTTCGGTGTTTCAAACTATCTGTAGCCTACCACCTGGGTACCACCAGGTTAGTTTATACAGTTCCTCTTTGTTTTCTGGTAGTGTTTTTGTTCTAAATTTATTCAACTGTCCCTAAGAAATTAGGAATTAGATAGTCCATGATATATGTGTGAGATTAGTCTTATTGAGATAGTCCATGATATATGTGTGAGATTAGTCTTATTGGTCTTAATAGGATTTTAATTTATTTTCAAGTTTTGGTTCATTGCAATTCCTTTACCAAATAGTATATTTATTTCCATTTTATTGAAGCAAGATTTGTTATATAATGGAAGTTCTATCGCTTATGGAAAAATACTGCATCTTACTTCACTGGATCCCATACAATGTGAGGGCATTCTACATGAACCAGACTTTTCTAATTATTCAGTTGGTTATTCAAATCAAAGTTTTGCCCATCTTCACTCAAACAGTAGTGTTGCACATTATGTGTGACCTGGCAAATTGTGATCTAGTTCTTCTACTTGGTTGAAACATTTTTTTTTTTTTTTTTTTTGTATTTGTTTGTATAACAAATGATCTAAGTTGTACTTCTTCCATTAAGTTCTCTAATCAACTTAGTTTTTCTCAAGTGCTCAACACACACTTAGAACATCATTGCATGCTTAGTTGGAACTAGGAAGTGGAGTTTATCGCTGTTTTACATTCTCTTTAAAGATTAATTTTTATTAAATGAACTTGTCATATCTTCTTTGCTAAATTGTGCCCGAGACATTGTCGGGATTTGAATTTGTTTGTCAATTTGTATATTGGTAATGACAGTTATCTTTTTGTTCTGTATCTTTGTCCCAAAAATCATTCTTTATTTTTTCTCCTTTTGACTGGGAGTTACCCCTGTGCATGTGCAGTATAAATTTGTTGTTGATGGTGAATGGAGGCATGATGAGAACCAACCTTTTGCTACTGGAAACTATGGGATTGTAAACACTGTTATGTTGCCTAGAGAAACTGACTACCTTCCTGCAGTTGCAAGTACCCAGACTGCTCCTAATTCTAACATGGATGTCGATAATGATACCTTTCAGCGTGTGGTATGTCACTTTGTTCTGCTTATGAAAAAATGTTTTTATGCTTGCTGTTTCCGTTTCTAGACATCTTCAGCTCCTATTTTCTTAAAACAAGTTATTTTACATAATTAAATTATGATTCACAATTGAATTATGATCTTGAGGCTATACTAATGTTGCCTAGGACGAGGAGTGCCACATCACCCTTCTAATACTATGCTTTATAGATTTATCTCCAGTCTTGTCCTTTTTTGTTCTCTCTCAGCCGTCATTTTTTTTGTGTGTGTGGGGGGAGTAGACTTTCTTGGATACAAACAGATAATGACAGGTATTGGCAATTGTTATTCACAAAATTTAAGAATGCTATCATTGAAAAGCTTGTTTAATTTCCAAAAGAATTGGGACTGGAAAAGGATTGGTATACATTCTGTTAGATTGTCAGAGAAACAATTTTTATAGTCTATCAACATCATTTTTGTCTAATTGCAATGTGTCAGAATTTGTGTTGTTTGTAGTCATACCAAATTAGGCCCTATTAACTGGGCTTGTTACAGTCCGGTTATATAACTTATAAGCTCCACATATGATCTGGGCTTAGCCTTAGACTGTAAACCAGTTTTGAACTCTCATCCAAACCTGGGCTGGACCAGTCAGATATCCTCCTGGACTCCTAAGATTCAAGGACTCTAGGAGGAAGAATCTCCCAAAAGTGAAATTGCTACAGCCAATCATCACCGTTGATTACTGTCAAAATCCATCTCCCAAAAATGAAATTGCTACAGCCAATCATCATCGTTGATTACTGTCAAAATCCAAATCAGACACTCATTAGCTGCTAAAAATTGTCCGCTATACCTGTTATCCAACACATACCCACACAGAATAACTAGCTATTAAAGAGAATACAAAAATAAATTCAAGAGTTCAAAATATTGTTATTATTTTCTTTAGATTTAATTTCAGAGAGCAGCATCGCACACAAAATACAAAAAAAAAAATAAAATATTCATCTTCGTCTCCGCATCCTCACCCACTAAGAAATCCTCTGTAGCCATCTCAATTCTGTTTTCTCCAATTGTCCCGAAGCTCTAACTCTGCTCGATTTTGTATCCCATGGTGTGAAATCTGAATTCAATTTGGAAGAATCCCAAACTTGGTTGATTTCCGAGTTGGTAAATCGATAATAGCTTACTAGCCTTGTATTCAATTTTTGTTATGCGTGTTTGTTTCTGAATTTTATTTCCTTACAGTGATTGTTTTAACTAAAAATTGGAAATCCTTACCAAATAAATAAAAATGAAATCTTTTGTCGCATTCTTGTTTACAGCGAGCTTGTTCAGACCGAGATTCTATTTCAGCTTCAAAATTATGTTATTATTGTGGCATTTTTCAGTTTCTTGGCAAATTAATCTTTTATTGTCTGTTATGCATAGATTGGAATATATTCTTAAATTGGCAAGAGTTGCAATGTATTGATCTGCTGTTTGATTGCTAAAATGAAAACTCTTTCACTTTGGTGTATAGATGTCATGACATTTTAGATGATCTGCTATTTATATATAAAAAATTACCTTGGTATGCTTCAGGTTAGGGTGTCGGATGGTGCATTGGATGCTGTGTCTAGAATATCACAGGCAGATATAGAGATATCTCGCCACCGTATATCTGCAGTCCTCTCCACACACATGGCGTATGAGTTGCTTCCTGAGTCGGGAAAGGTTCAAGTTATTTATTGTCAGATATAAATATAAATGTTCATATGCACATGGATCATGCATTATCTGTTCTAGTTCCCTTTTCTGATTTTTTTGTCTTCCAGGTGATTGCATTAGATGTTGATCTCCCTGTAAAGCAAGCGTTCCATATTCTGCACGAGCAGGTAATCCCTCTATGTTGGTATGTTTTGCTTCAGCTTCCATGGTTTGTGTTCCAGTCTCAAATATTCCAGATCTGGTTGTCAATTTGGTGGTTAAGAGTGTGTTATTTCTCTTTTGCAGCTTCATGTTCAGTTGAACAGTATTTTCAAATTATAATTGTCATTTTTCATCCTTCTGAAATTTATCAAATTCATACGCACATTTACTTTATCAAGTTCCTGCTATTTTCAGGGTAGTCCTATGGCTCCTCTCTGGGATTTCAACAGGGGACATTTTGTTGGAGTTCTTAGTGCGTTGGATTTTATCTTAATTATGCGGGAGGCAAGTATATAGTTTTTTTTTTAATAAATCATTTATGCATTAGAAAATGTTAGTATAAGCTCAAGTTTAAGGCTTCTACCATTGGTCTCACCCTACCCTTATCCCCTATTGTACCCACCCGACGCAGGAAATGATGAGTTTAATGATCTGTTTACTTATTTGCAGCTTGGAAATCATGGGTCCAACCTTACAGAGGAGGAACTTGAGACACATACTATATCTGCTTGGAAAGAAGCAAAATCATACATAAATGGACAGATTAATGAACGAGGGGGAGCAGCTCTTAGAGTGCTTGTATCTGTGAGTTTTATTTTACATGCTTTGCGTATAGTGTAGATTGTCTGGTCATGCAGAAACTACTTTCTGACATCTTTGGGTTCATTATTGATGCAATGAACTTTGCTGAATTGAACAAACAAATTAAAAAGGCAAAACCAATAAATTTTATATCAATGGATTAAATTTGTACATTGCATTCATATCCTGCTAATATTCTCTTATAAATATTTTCTATCCTACCAAATATACCCTTGTCTACAATTATTTTTATTAGCTTATGAATGATCTATATATTAGTTTTATACATATTTGGTATACAGCAATTGCTTCTCTTGACCTATATTGACATTGTGCAGGCTGGCCCAGATGACAATTTGAAAGATGTTGCTTTGAAAATTTTGCAAAATGGTGTAGCTACAGTTCCTATCATTCATTCACCCTCAGAGGATGGGTTATATCCACAGCTACTGTATCTTGCTTCACTTGCTGAAGTACTAAAATGTTAGGCTTCTACTTGCTTCTTTTTAACTACTATAAGTTTACCTGGCTTTTGGCCTAACACAGTATGCTGTTCTGCAGATCTTTGTAGGTATTTCAGGCATTCACCAGCATCTCTTCCCATTCTTCAATTGCCAATTAATGCCATACCATTAGGGACCTGGGTTCCCAAAATTGGAGAGCCAAATCGACGGCCGTTGGCGATGTTGAGACCTACTGCCTCGCTTAGTGCAGCACTGAATTTATTGATTCAAGGTTTGTTGGCTTTCCTAAATAGAAATAATATCTAAAGTTCTTTTTGTTTGTAAATGTCTTGACTTTGATGTTCTTGGGTTACAATAACGTTGAGATTGAATATTAATATTTGTACTAGTTCGGGAATTGTATGAGTAAGAATAAACACCTTCACTGCTACTGGTTATAAGATAACCCTTTCTCACTAACTTCTATGATGGGTGAAATGGCTAGACTCGGGATATTGAGTGTATGCCTTTTGCAAGTGATCGCTGCTGCCCTGTATTACTTGTTCACGTATCATATAGGTTGTGCTTTTTATTAGAATCTTAGATACGGTTTGTTCTATGAATATATATAATGCTCGAGCTGTAATCTCTGACCAAGTTTAATTATCTTTATTTTTTGAGCTAGTTTGCTTACTATGCAACTTCATTGGTTTTTGCAGCTCAAGTTGGTGCAATTCCCATTGTTGATGAGAATGACTCATTATTGGATATATATTCTCGAAGGTTGGCATTGATTTTACTCGCACATCGTTTTACATTATAGTCTTTAACTCACAAGCGGAGGTTAATCTGCTCAATCCCTTTTTACAGTGATATCACAGCCTTGGCCAAGGACAAAATTTATACACACATCAATCTTGACGAAATGACCATTCATAAGGTGAGTGCAGTGAATCAAGACTAAAAACCGTGAACTAAGGACTAGTTTTGTTGTAGATTAGAGATTTAGAACATTTTAGTAGTGTTTGGATGCCAAAACTTATGCAATGATCTATCTATCTTGTTGTACACTGCATTTGCTTTTCAGGCATTGCAGCTTGGAGAGGAACCGTATGCTTCCCCATACATGGTTGGCAATGAAAGATGTCACATGTGTTTACGGTCTGACCCGCTCCATAAAGTGATGGACAAGTTATCCAAGCCAGGTTAACTATTGTTCTTTCAAACACCATACAAATTACCGGCAACCAAAGATCAATGTAGTTATATTTCCTGTTCTGAATGTTTTCATTTAACATTGTGCTTAGGTGTTAGACGGCTTGTGATTGTGGAGGCTGGGAGCAAGCGCGTTGAAGGTATCATATCTCTTAGTGATGTTTTCCGGTTCTTGCTTGGATAGGGTGGGAGTGGGAACAATGACTTTGATGGTGCCACTGCTGCAACGACGCCCACTTTCAGCAGTGATCTAATCTCAATTCTTTCATGTATACACAACTGGATTGGCCTCAAATGTTGGGGCCTGGTTCTTTTTACTATGTTGGGCTTCAAATGAGGCGTGATGTAAATTGTCATATTTGTTTTCTTTTCCTTGTTTCAAAACGTCGTCAAATATGTAGCAGCATTTACTATATAAACTAGTGTCTCCTTGTTCTGCAGCAAAGACAGCTGCCATTTTTCCTCCAAATTCTTGGGGCTTGTCTTCTCTCGTGCAATATTGCTCACATTGATGCGATAAAGTTTGCTATTCTGATGCGTTTGCTATAAGGCACAGACGGATTCAGTTGCTTGAAAAATATTTTGTATGCAGGGAACTGTTAGCATAAACTCTTATAAGGGATTTTGGTCGAATTTAAATCAGTCTTACTATGAGGTGCGGATTTAGCCGTTTGAAAAAGTTGGTTAGTGGTGAACTACTAGCATCGACTCTTATAGATGATCTTGGTTAAATTTAAATTAGTCTAATGGTGATAGGCATTAAGCATATCTTACTAAAAAAAGTTTAATTTTAGACATTGTGAAAAAAAAAAAAAAGTAATTTAGTATTACATTTATTAAGAGGTTTAATTGTTCCCCATTTAAATGCTATTTTGATAAAAGAATCTATATATATTTATATTATTTGTAAAACATATGTAACAATACATATTTGTTCGTTATCAAAAATGAGAGGATGACAACCAACATGGTTGGCGTGGTGGTTCAGCACCTCATCCTTTAAACATGAGGTTGGGGGTTTGATTCCCACCCATGTGAATGGAGCAAACCATTTGGCCAGTCCCCTACCACTTAGTGTGCTGACCGTAGGGATGGGGATTAGTCTTCTGACTTTCAGCTGAAGGGATACCTTTGGGCAACAAAAAAAAAAAAAAGAGAGGAAAATCCTCAAAAAGATAATAATTAAGTCACACAATCATTCTAGAAAAAGAAAGACTCATGCAATTCTCATGAATAACCTATGCATAAGTACATGATGAAAGAAGCAAAAGTTTGTCCCCATCATTTTAGCAGTTACAAGTTTCCGGCAATTTGACCGAAGAAACTGAAATTGAAAAAAATTACATCATTATAATATTAAATTGATAATTTTAAAACTCGTAGATTGCAATTAACAACACCCTAATAATCATAGAATCAACATGAAATCAACTAAAAAAAAAAAGAAAGAGAAAGATGATTATTGTTCGAAGTCATAGCAGATTAGGCCCATTAACTGGGCTTGTTATAGTCCGTTCTAAGCCCACTTTTGATCTGGGCCCCAACTTTAACCCGGGCCGGTCCGGTCCGGTCTGACAGTCTCCTGGAGGTCCTAGGATTCTAGGAGGAAGAATCTCCCAAAAGCGAAATTACCACAGATAACCATCACCGTTGATCACTATCACAAACTAAATCAGACACTCATCAGCGGCTGAAAACCGTCGGCCACACCTCTTATCCAACACCTACCCACACAGAATAACCTACCAAAGAGAATACAAAAGAAATAAATTCAAGAATTCAAATTATTATTATATTTCCTTTTAGCTTTAAGCCTTTAATATTGCAAGCAGCCTCGCACACAAAATACAAAAAAATTGAGTTTCGCGGTTACTGCCCCAAAAAATTCATCTTCTTCTCCGCGTCCTACTCGCCCACCAAAAAATCCTCTGTAGCCAATCGCAATTCCGTTTTCTCCAATCGCCTCTGAGCTCCAACTCTGCTCGATCTTCGTTTCCCATGGTGTGAAATCTGAATTCGATTCCGAGGAATTTCCAATTCGGTAAATCGGTAATAGCTCACTAGCTGCGTGTTCAATTTCTCTTATGCGTCTTCGTTTCTGAATTTTCTGTCTTCTCAGTGAGTGTTTTAACTAAAAATAGGAAGACCTATGGGGAAAAGGAAAAAAAAAAAAAGAATAAGAAAATCTTGTGTTGCTATCTTGTTTACAGCGAGCTTGTTCAGATCGGGATTCTGATTTCAGCTGCAAGATTTTTGTGTTATTTTCGTGGCATTTTTCAATTTCTTGGCTGATTAATCTTTTCTTGTCTCAGTGTAGGCATAGATTGGAATGTATTGTTAAATGGTCATATCTAATTTTCGAGCTAGTGGGTTAGTTGGGATTTAGTTTTGAAGCTATGCCCGTAGCTTTAGTTTGGCGTGGGTGTGGTTTTGTAGTTCATGGCCTATCTATGTCGCGGGTGTCTATTGATATTGCGTTTAAATTTTGTGTTATTGCGATGTCATTTCGAGCTGTTTGACAAATTATGTCTTTTATTGAGTTCATCTCGTGGATAAGAGAAATTAGTAGTTGATAAAGGCCCATTTATGGTATATCAGTATTCATGTGCAAAAATGTTGTATAAAATTGGGTTATTGCAAGTATTTTGTTTGGTTTATGTGTCACTTTTAACTGTTTGATGAATTTGTTTGAATTAGGTTCATTTGTATTATGGCCCATAATTATATTTTTTTGAACTGATAAGTTCTATTCATTTAAAGTTGTGAATTCCTGTGTTATGGTAGAGTGTGCTATAAAGATTCATCATAGAGATTCAAATGGTTTGATTATGCATTTGAAAATCAACAACCATTTCATTTCTGGTAGGAAAGTTGTTGAGTTTTTGAGATATTTTGCCCCGACCATATAATTTCTTTTCAATCAAATGTTTGTGAAATAATAACTGTTTTATAGATTAAAGTTAAAGTGTCTTAGGTGTGAGCACTCTTCAAATGATAGAACATGATATAAAGATCCTTCATACAAATGCAAATGGCTTAGTCAGACATCTGAGAACTAACAACCATATCTGGTGGGAAAGTTATTGATTTTGGGAAGTGATTATTTTTAAGTTTTCATGTACTTTTGGTGGCGTAAAATAATGGAGTAAATCCAGGGTAGAGAAAGGACATAATTTTCTCTGGCTATAATTTTCTCTTAATCAAAATTTTATCTATTATTGAAGAAAATCATTGGTTCATCTTGCAAGATACTCCATATAGTTTTCTTCCTTTTTGAGTGCCAATTGGAGTTGGTTATTGACCTCAACTAGTAAGCTCACTTGAGGAGTATGAAGATAGTCTTATTATACTTGTCTATGACATCAGTTGTCTATGGAAGGGGAGTAATAGTGAAGGAGAACTAATCAGTGCCTTGCTATTAGTGGAAAAGGTTGGAGTGTTAGAAATGAAGATTATGGATTAGTAAATAAGATGGTTTTATTATTTATTTATTTATTACATGAGTATTCAACTCATGTAACACCTATTAGTGAAGTGCTCAAAGTTTGACTCTTATGTTTTGGAAATAACCTTTTTTGGAATAGAGATAAGATTGCATACATCACTCCTCAGACCCTTATCAACAGTCTTCTTAACTTTTAATGTTCAGTTGAACTAATGCCACATTTCATAATTTTATAATTAGAGCAAGTTCAAAATCCTTAAACATTTGGAAAATCTGTTATAATATGGTAATATATTATAATGTGGTTATCAAACCAAGTTATTGTAGCTATAATGTCCAACATTGTGTGTGCATGTGTTTTTTTAAATGTATATTTAAGTTCATTTCTACATTAAAGTATTAAACTTTTTTTGTTTCCTCATATTTTTTCAGGATTGAATTATGTCTCCTGCAAGAAAATCAAGGAGTGTCAACAAACGATACTCTTGTGTAAATGAAGTCTCGCCCAACAAAGATGGAGATATGTCTAAAAGAAGCAACCAACGGGTGAGTTTCAATTTTAATTTCTTCTACAGTTCCACACAGTGGATGGCCTTTTCTTCTAAAGAATGCTACAGGCCTACAGCTTATATTTTGACATTTCTGGAAATATTAACTTTCTCTTTATAGATATGCACTTATAGCTGCTCTAGTTACAGGCTTTTATTGGACTAATAAATACTCTGGAATCATAGTAATTTGAGGACTGTATTAAAAAAAATGGAGTACTAAATTAATAATAATTGAAGTGAAGGTCTACAGACTAAAATGAGGATATTACTATATTAGCATGGTCATATTGTATTTGAAGGGTAAAATGTTGGACTAAAAGATTCCTGTTATCCTTGCAATCTCTTCTGAACTTTACATGAATACAACTGTAAAGTTGTTAGTCCCCATCTTATTTCTGATTTTGAATGGATTAACATATTCACTGTATTCATGAATCATGCCTGCCTCAATTGTGAGTGGCTGTGTGCACTTATAACATGATTAACTTCCATCTTAACTTTCTAAGTTACTCATTTCTGGTTTAATTGCAGAAAAGGAAGTTGTCTATGCTGGGCCCTCAGTGGAATAAGGAAGAGCTGGGTCGTTTTTATGATGCATACAGGAAATATGGTAAAGATTGGAAAAAGGTTAGTTTTTAATCTGAATCTTAGTTAAATTTTGCTCTCTTTTAGATTTCGGTATAAGAAAATTGTGGGCCAAACTCAAATTGAGTTTCTGCAAGGATGAAAAGCAATTTTAATAATTCAACTCTCTCTTCCTCTCTTTCTCTGTCTCTTTTGTTTTTTTTTTTTTTTTTTTTTTTTTTTCTTTTTAAATAAATACTGTGGTCAGTATGTGACTATTTCCACTATGTTATTTTATGTGCATTGCAGGTGGCTGCTGCAGTGCGAAACCGATCAGTTGATATGGTGGAGGCACTTTACACCATGAATAGGGTAATGTGTGTGTGTGTTTGTGTTTGTGTTTGTGTTTGTGTTTTTTTTTTTTTTTTTTAAATAAAAATAAAAATGGATTATAAATGACAATGTTTATTTATTTAATTTTTTGTTATTTTGTTCATATGATCTTTTTTACTTGCTAGCTTTATAAAATTGTATAGTTATATGCTTTTGGTTTCGTTAGTATGTGTATATATACATCATGTATGTATACACTATGGGCATATCAGTTTATTTGTTTGCTTTTTGCATAGTGGTCTGCTCTATTATGGTTGTTATACTTACAAGTTTTACATCGCTACTGTAGCATGTGAGCTGCTACTTAGATGAGAAAGAAATGCCTCCATAAGATTTACAGAGTATTTCACTGGAACTACAATAAGGTGTGAGGTGTCTCATAGTCATATGGACACTCTATGCCTTATTCAAAACCTCAAACATCCCAGTATGAACTGATCTCCTGATTTTAATGTAAAAAATCAGACTACCCTTTCTCTGATAGTAAGCGATAGTAATTTAGCAAGCTTATGACCTATCTAGGCAAGAAGGAATTTAAATTAAAAAATCAGACTATCCTTCTCTGATATTTAACATGAACTGACAAAATGTTTTTTGAGCATTAATCATCAAGTAATGCGCATATATATTTTTGCTAGAAACGTCACTATTAAATTTCCCTTTTTGAGTGTTAATTAAGTAATGTTCAGATATACTTTAGCTAGAAAGATCAGTCTTAAATTACTTTTTTTTTTTTTTTTGGGTGTAAACCACGATGTGTTCCGGGTCTTTCTCCATCCATCTTACGGTCCGGGTACACTCGACTAATCCCTGTTCGCTTCGGGAGGCATGGGAGCTGGCCCAAGGGGAATTGTCTCTTGTGGGAATCCAACCTGGGTTATCCCTAGGATCGTCCCCACAAAGAAGCTCCTTTGTCACTTGAGCTACCCCTTTGGGTTGATTACTTTTTAAAAAATGGTTAAGGAGGAATAGGGATATGACCCCTGCATTACCGTTTTGGTAACATGTGCTTCTCTATTTTCAGGCTTACTTATCTCTTCCTGAGGGGACTGCTTCTGTTGTTGGGTTGATTGCAATGATGACTGATCACTATTGCAATTTGGTAAGATACATTAAGTTGTGGATATATTATCTGTAACACCACCAACGCCCCCCTCCCACCCTCTCTCTCTCTCTCTCCCCCTGTTATCTGGATTGCTTATGTGAACAACATTTCCCAGTTAATGGTTTAACCTTATTTGTTTTAAGTCTACACGCATTTGGCTCTTTGTGAATGGGAAAATTTGCAGTCCTTTTTTCGTAGCTTTCTTGTTAGAGAAAGAGCAATAGACGCTACAAGAGGCTCATTAGTTTTCACTTGTGATAATTGTGTTATTGGACTGGGGATGGCAGGCTGGAAGTGATAGTGAACAAGAAAGCAATGAGGGTGCAGGGACATCTCAAAAACCTCAAAAGCGGGCTCGGGGTAAAGTTCAGGCTGGCACTTCTAAAGGTTCTGATTTGCAGCCCCCTACAGTAGCACCAAATTATGGTTGTTTGTCATTATTGAAGAAGAAACGCTCAGGAGGTGCGTTCCTCCTTTCTTTGAGTACCTCAAAAAAGAATTTAGTTTTTGTTTTTAAGCCCACTTGCTGGTACAATATTTCTTATATTGCTTTACATTATGTTTTGTAATACTTGTTCTTGATGAGGAGTTAAGGCATTAAATTTTGAGGACATATATTTCTGTTAAATGTGAATGCCTAATAGCAAATCTTCCTTTTGGTAGCACGATGTTAAACCTTGACTATGCCTTTTTGTTTTGTCATGACCCATGAGTCGTCATCAATGGAACTGCGCTGATGTGTTAGTATTTGTGATGCTTTTTCTGGAATTTTCTTTCAGGGACACGACCTCGTGTTGTTGGGAAAAGGACACCACGGTTTCCAGTATCATATTCTTATGAAAATTTTAATAGTGGAAAGTATTTTTCCTCTAGTAAACAAGGCTTGAAAAGAAAGTTAGATGTTAATGATGATGAAGTTGCTCATGAAATAGCATTAGCTTTAGCTGAAGCTTCACAGAGAGGTGGTTCTCCCCAGGTTTCTCAGACACCAACTCGCCGAACTGATAGTGCTTTATCCACTCCTGCTCGCAATGCTGAAAAGAAGGTAATTATTCAACTTCCACCTGAAGTCTTCTTCAGCATTCTTATGCATACATTCTCAAAATTTACTTAAATTGATTTGTAAACAGCATGTTAATCTGGAAATGGCCAATTCCAAGCTTCTTAGTAGTGAAATGGACGAGGATGAAGGAAGCATGGAAGCTGACACAGGAGAAGTATCCAGGAATAGGACTTTGATGGAAACTGGCAGAACAATGCAGAAGGGCAGAAGACTCTCTGGGAGAAAGTTGGAAATTGATGACACTGGTGACAATCATTTTGATGACATCAAGGAAGCATGTAGTGGTACAGAAGAAGGTTATAGGTTAGGCGCTGTAAGAGGAAAACATGACAAAGAGGTTGCTGGTGAAAGAGTTTCAAGGGCTTCTTCTCTTGGTCTCAGAAAGAGGAGCAAAAAGGTTCTTTTTCAGAGAGGTATGGCAGTTTTCTCAAATGCTTTTCTTCAAAAGAAGTTCCTATGTAATCATACAATCTTTATATGTCCTTTTTACTACTTCATGGGCTTAATTTAGAAATTAGAGTCTAATTAAGAAAAATTGCCATGACCTTAAGTTCTGGTGTGGTGAGAAATGCTATGAATTATCTTGTTCCTAATGTGAAGATATATTGTTGATTTTTGTTAGTTGATGCTAATCCCTGGTTCTTTGTGAGTTTGTGAAGCATATGTTTTACACTTTTGGCAAAAAGACTGTTTCTGTCCTCTGAGAATGTAGGAAAAAAATATTAATTTAGATTAATGGATGTGAAGTTCTCCCTCCGTCCCATTTTCTAAGGGATAGCTGTGTTTGGCATGCTTCTCTAAAAAATCAGATAAGATATGATTTCTTTTCCAAATTTTCCCTTCTAACAAGAGATGAATTGGGAGCCACCTAGAAAAGTTAAAAGCTAGTGGTGTTTACATTAGGAAAGTGGATATAATTTTTGACAAACTAAAAATGAAAGTAGGACAAATAAGAGTGAGAAAGAACCATGTGAATTGTTTATTCTGTAATTCTATTGAAAATTTCAATATTTCATGTTTGGCAATTGAAAAGTTATATTGTGAATAATGTGATAAATATTAAAATACTTCATGCCAATGTTAACTTTTATTTCCTCTATACAGATGAAAGCTCTGCCTTTGATGCTCTACAAACTTTGGCTGATCTATCGCTGATGATGCCAGCCACAGAAAATGAAAATGGTAAGGATGAACATTGCCATCCTTTTAGTTTCTGTGTTTTACACACACACTTCCAATCTGTGACTTGAGATTTTTGTCATGTTCTATATTTGTGCAAGATTCCATTCCAACAATCTTATCTTCAAGGATACTGATACCTGCATGCTTGCATTAATTTGAAAAATGACTATGAATTATTATTATTATTATTATTATTTTTTTGGTGGTGTGACTTTATGAATGTATGTTTCTCAGTGTTGTGTAATACATTTCTCAGCGATTAATGCATTTTATAAAGCTATATGATTTTACACTTAAAACTTTATTTGCTTCTTAAGTATCAGTAAGACGGTAAGTCTGCTATATTGCAATGATAATTTTGAACTGTTAATCATATTAAGTCATTGGTTCAGCCCCTATAAGCTGCCTTTCTGTAAAAAGTGGTAAAGTTGCATTATCTTCTTCTGGATGCTGCATAGTATGGGATCCTAGTGTGTTAGATTTAACCAACTTTAATCATGGTATTGCAATATGCATCAGTGTATCAAAAGGAGGATAGATGATGCGCGTTGAGAAGTTTACCTCATTTTCTGAATTCAATAGCTCTTCCTTTTGAAAGATTTAATTCTTCCTGAAGTTTTTAAGCCTTATACAGTTATGCTTCATGTTTAGATGGGTACAATTATAAACTGAGGCTTCAAATTTTTAGGCTACTGATGCATAATCTTTAAAACTCTTTTCTGAATAATATGGCTAACTTTTTGTGCACTTGCTTTTATGTATTTGAAATCATAGTCCCATCATTTGAATTGTATGGTGCATCTGCAACAGTGTTCTTACTCTTACTCCACTCTTGCTTTCTTTTTCTCAGATTTAATGATGCAGGTCAAAGATGAAAATGATCACATTGATGAATCTGGGACCTTGGAAGCTCTGCCTACAAACCGTCAAAGAGAGAAACGTGGATCATCTGGGGTTAAAACTAAATGGAGTCAGCCGGCCTCAAGACTTGAGGTTGCATCTAGTACAATGCCAAAACATGGAAAAGCTTCAGTTGATACTAGTTCTGTTCCTGAGACAAAGCAGACGAAAAAAACACAGAAGATATTGACATCTAAGGTAAGCTGAATATAATTCTGTCCAGTTTGTTGGATATTTTCGGCAATGTTTTCTGTTGCAGAAAAATAAATCTTTGGGGTCCATGCAGGCAAGAAAAGGTGAAGCTCATCTCACTAATGATATTTCTGAACCTCAAGATTTTGAGGTATGTTTGCTTTGATTGTGTTGATTAAAGACATTTACTGATTTTATTATTATAGTTTATTAGTTTATCTTTATTTCATCTTAAAGGTTGATCAAATTGAGATATCTGATTTAGTTTGTACAAAGGTTGTGTGGCATGTGTAGGGATTAATTCATTCTCCTGCAGCTCCAGTTTTGCTTCAATTATGAACCAGTTATGTTTTGGTTTTCATGTGGAAACATCTCTCTTAAGGAGTGAATGGTGGCAGATATCTGAGATATATTGGTATATAAAATGGACTTTATTTTTTGACAGATCAAAAAAGAAATTTAGAGATCTAAATGGGATAAAGAGTGTTAGGTTTCAATTTGGAGCTTCAAGAACCGGATTGAGTTGTATTTGATCAAATTCTTTTAATCTAGTAAGAGATTATCGGTACTGAACTATATCTCATTTAAGTCATGTTTGGCTAAAATTGGAAGCTAAATAAGATTGTATTGTTATTTAGATTGGAAAGAATAGAGTATAATTGACTCTTTGTTTAAGAGAATGTGAAATACTCCATATATTTTCCTTTTGTACAGAATGTTGGTAATATATTTTATTTCAATTGTCATTTCTTGTATTTGAGTTTTGCACAATATATGCCCATTTCTATGTCTATTAGAAATGCTACTTCTCAAAGTAGTGAACACCAATTTGACACGATTCTCTATTCTTATAGACTAAAGATGCACCAAAGAAGCCAAGCAGCAAGGGTAAAAGATCTTTGCAAAGTTCATCACCTAAATTGATAAAGAACCAAGATCATTCCTCAAGTGCAGATCTAAGAATAGAAAGAAGTGATTCGGCTCAATCGATTGCAGAAGTCCCTGTAGCAAACCAGGTTACCTTGCCTACTAAAGTTAGAAGTAGGCGTAAGATGGGGATCAAGAAACCACAAAAAGAAAAAGATCTGACTTTTCCTGATAGCATTTTGGATAACCACTGCAACTTACCCTTTGCTCCAGTTAATGACAAATTGTTCAATCTTAAGGTTTGCTAAATCATTTTTTCTTTCTCAAGTTGTTCCTTTTACTTTGACTTATTGGCTGCATATGCATTGTTTTAACATTGAATGTTTTCTGTTCAACATGGCATGCAGAAAAAGCTTTCTAGTTGCCTTTCCAATGATCGTGTACGGAGATGGTGTATATATGAGTGGTTCTACAGTGCAATTGATTATCCTTGGTTTGCTAAAAGGGAGTTTGTTGAATACTTGTATCATGTTGGATTAGGACATGTTCCCAGGCTAACTCGTGTTGAATGGGATGTCATAAGAAGGTAGTTATAATTCACTGCAAAGTGTGAACCTTCTATGTGTTTCCTGTGTTGTGGATAATTTTAAGCTTTAAATGTTGATGCAGTTCTCTTGGTAAACCACGGCGATTTTCTGAACAATTTTTGAAGGAGGAAAAGGAAAAGCTTAGTCAATACCGTGAGTTTGTTAGAACACATTACACTGAACTACGTGAGGGTACCAGGGAAGGATTACCCACTGATCTTGCAAGGCCAATATGTGTTGGACAACGCGTCATTGCCATCCACCCTAAAACAAGAGAAGTTCATGACGGAAGTGTGCTGACAGTTGATTATTCTCGGTGCCGGGTTCAGTTTGACCGGCCTGAGCTTGGAGTTGAATTTGTCAATGTAAGACATCTACCAATTATAACAAGAAAATATGCTGCAACTTGTGCTTTATTCTAGTGTGTGTGTGTATTGCGAAATAGTTACTGTAACACAGTGAAACTAATTAGGTTTTTTTTTTTTCCACATGGTCAGAATAAGCTTTAAATGTGAGTTATATTTATCTGTCTAGTTGAATGTGCACCAACAAGAAAAAATGGGGGTGATTCATCTAGGATTTCAGATATGATAGGTTTACCAACTCTCACCCTAGTATGATGGTGGAGTTTCCATTTATTGCACTATCTTCACCAGGCAAGATTTAGATTTTTCTCAGAACAGTGGTGACACTGTATTCACACATTTTAATGAAGAAATTATTCAGTGTATCCATTATCTTTTAGTGACATTCGGTGTATAAATAGATTCTTTCAAAGCTATTTCTGCACTTCTACTTGAAATTTTGTTATTTGACATGTTATAGGCTTGATTCTGCAACCCCATCCATTCTGCCTGGATTTGGTAGATTTTAGAAATATTCTCTTTTTTAGTCCTTACTTGTTCTTATTTGGGCAAGGGAGGATTATATCATGAATCTTGACTCAAGAAGCATTTTAGCCTCATAACTAATCTTCTTCACCCTTGTGATGAATATTCATCACGACATCAATGTATGTTGATTTTCTTTTGAATTACATTTAATTGTTCTAGTTTTTATTGTCTAAAGTTAATATCATCTCACATTCAAGTAACATCCATTGATGCTTGCATAGGTACAGGAGTGGGGTTCATAGTATCCCAACTTGGAGGGAGGGAGGAGGATTATTGTGCTAATCCACTTAATGATATATAGATTCAGTTACAAGTTGCAATAGTATATACTTTTCTCTCTGTTAATATGTGGTATACTAGGGCACTTATTGCAAATCTTCATGCTCAGGATATTGATTGTATGCCTCTAAATCCCAATGAGAACATGCCTACATTGCTCAGAAGGAATGGGCATCATGTGGACAAGTTATTTGAGAACTTCAATGAGCACAAGGTGAATGAGCAAGCAAATGACAGTGTGAAATATGCATCGCGTGACAATCTGGAGAATGGTGATGGTTTCCCTTGTTTGCCTTCATCAACCTATGCAAAAAATAACCTATTAATGCAAACAGAGGTCAGTAGCATTTTATTTTCCTTGCAAGTGACTGACATAGTGAGGACTTCATTAGTTCATTGTATTTGAGTGCTGCCAACTAGAGAAAATATTCTGAAACTTTTATTGCTATTAGTGTAAAGATATTTTTGTTGCATTTGAATACTTGGGCTTGTTGTATGAAGAGAATCAATAATAATCTGGAACAAAGAACTTGTGTCTCAAATGACACTGGACAATGTTTTATCTTAACATGTCAAATATTCCCCTTTTTCTTCTCTGTTAATCACGTGGAAGAGCATGGGGAGAGAGGAATGCTCATGCCAGTCTGAGCTCCTCTCCTGCCATGAATCGAAGATGAGGTTGTATGAGCCTAGTTTCTTGATGAATGAATCTATTATGTGCATCATTCTTTCAATTAATGAGATCAGTTAAACCTTCTATACCAGGTGGATTCAGCAAATGTTGATGGGCATGCAAAAATTGGGTCAAGTGAAATTGCCCAACAGATGTCACATTCTCAACCTGGTACAGTGGGACAGAACCAAGCAAAGGAAGCTGATGTTCAAGCTCTTGCTAAGCTGACTCGTGCTCTTGACAAAAAGGTTTATAGACTTTTTATGTGTCCATCTGCTGCATATGTTAATGACTGTTCTTGATGTTTGTCTCTTACGGATTTTAACTATTCCTATGCGTTATATAGTTGATATATGCATAAAAGACGTTCACATATATATGAGATGTAGAAAATGAGGAAATTGGTTTTACTTGAACATTCAGGAAGCTGTGATTTCTGAGTTGAGGCGTATGAATGATGACGTTTTGGAAAATCAAAAGAGTGGTGACTGCACCCTCAAGGACTCGGAGCCTTTCAAAAAACAATATGCTGCTGTAATTGTACAGTTAAATGAAGTAAATGATCAGGCATGTAGTCCACTTCTGTTAAGTGAGCAGATTGAATTTCTTGCCACTGCACTGCAATTAAGTGTTGAATTTTTTTAATTTTTTTTATATTTGTTTGGCAGGTTTCTTCTGCTTTGTATTGCTTGAGACAGAGGAACACATATCAAGGAAGCATTTCTCTTAATTGGCCTAGGCCAGTTGCTAATTTTGGTGATTCTGGTGGCATAGTGAGCACTTTTGACTGCTACACAAATCAAACTCAGGAACCTGGATCTCATATCAACGAGATTATTGAAAGTTCGAAAATAAAAGCCAGAACTATGGTAGATGCTGCTGTGCAGGTACATAGAAATTTGGCTATTACTTCAAAATACACCTGTCTAATGCATATGTCGCCATAGGTACTATAACTGTGAAGTTGGGAATGGTTCTTTAGTGTAATATGTGTTGGCAAATTATCTTTGTTAACTAGAGTTATGAGTCATATTTTATTGTCAGGCGATGTCATCACTTAATGGAGTGGAGAACAGTACAGGGGATGTTGAGGATGCTATAGATTATCTAAACAATCGCATTCCACTAGATGAATCTTGCTTGCTTACTGTAAGACATTCCACTATTTTGGTGTACAATGGGTGTTTCTTCTCCTTAGGTCCACTAATTTTAATCCACCGAATTACTGCAGATACCTGATTCTAAATTGAAGAATCCTGTGCATGGAAACGAGGCAGACATCCCTTCAGAACTTATTACCCAATGCGTTGCTACACTTCTCATGATCCAGGTAAAATCATCTGGTCATTTTAATAGTATGCAAATAAGATGATTACTTCAACTTCCAAGTCCCCCTCGAACGACTTAGAAACAAACAGAATATGCATCTCGATGTTACTGAGTCTGACCTGGCATTTGTAACAATTGCAGAAATGTACTGAACGGCAGTTTCCTCCAGCTGATGTGGCAAAAATACTGGACTCGGCAGTCGCCAGCTTGCAACCTAGCGGCTCTCACAACCTCCCTCTGTATGCAGAAATAGAGAAGTGCATGGGAATCATAAGAACCCAAATACTGGCGCTAATACCAACCTAGACATACTCTCTGTCTCAGGTCACTTGTTTTTTTAATTTTGTAAATTTGGAATGTAGATATTAAATAAAATAGGTAATTTGTTTGTCTTCAATGATCAGTCATTTGATCTTGTGTGAGTTAATATTTGGTAATTACACTGGTTAGTAGGTGTACATGAGTTTATTATTAGATTAGGTTTTTTTTTTTTTTTTTTTGGCTTGAATAAACCAGTTTGTAGCCATCTAAAACCAAAAATTAAATCCATTCTTGTTTGGTAAGGTTCAATTTAAATTTGCTCTAATTCAAACTTGGTACATAATTAGACTCTTATAAAAAAGAAGCTCACTTTGCTCTAGCCCTCCACTTTGTATTACTTAGCTAAACTTTCTTTGGGACTTGGCAATTTGCATTTTGCATGCAGGTTTTTGTTTTTTCATGATTTAACTAAGCATGGTATCAAAAACATTACTGCAAGTTAATCATAACTAATAATCTGTAAAATAAATCGACTTGGTTGGCGTGAGTGGTTGTGTACTCTCATTCTTTAAGAGAGGTTGGGAGTTTGAACCCCTTTGTATTTTAGTTGGACTGGCTCAGTGTGAATGGAGATTAATTTAAGTATGATACGAGTTTAAAGGTGTCTCTTATAGTTAGGGCCATACAAGGCGTACGGGGTCATGGTATAACTATTGGTAAGTTTAGGTTTGATTTAAATTGGGCCTTTCGGTTTAATTATACCGTATCTGGGATGGGCCCAGTTACGGCATTAGAATTATGAAGTACATTGACAAAATGCGAATAAATCACAACAGAACCAAAAAAAGGTGGGTCCAATTCGGATCCTACAACAAATACAAAAAATCTACACACCGACACATAAAGGGAATTAATTTTTCAAATAATAAGTTAGAAATGAATTGGCCTTTCAAAAAAATTCAATTACATATTTGAATTAGAAAAAGTTTTACATAAATATTTAAGTATTAAAAAGTACAATTACTTTTCTATTTTATTTGTAGATTACTTGTTACTTTTGATTATGTCGATGTAACTTGATGTGGAATATTATTTGTTTATGGATACTGTGTATATTATTTTAATTTTAAAAATATTTTTCTTTACTAAAATTAATTTTAAAAAAGTGCATAGTCATGACGACTCAAGATAAACATCTATGACTATCCAAAAAAGATAATCGTGACTATCGCCATTGGGAAGGATGACATTGGTCCTTGTCCATGGCGGCCTTAGATGAGAATTTTGGTCCCATCTATAAAAACACAAAAAACAAAAAAAAACAAAAAATCTAATTAGTTATGTCAAGTTGTCAACAAATAAAAATCACTACATGTTATCTATAATAATCTACACTTGGGTACCAAATTAACATGTTATCTAATTATTATTTTTTTAGCTCATACTGCATTTGAATGTTCCAAATAGTTCGATATCAAAGCTTATTTGATCATTTTATGATAAACAAGTTTTTTTTAATAAATGTTACAGTACTTTATACTCTTGAAATATATATTATTGCTACACAGTCTACATTGATTAACAAAAATAGGAAAAAATAGAAAAAATAAATAAGTCACTCTTAAATAAAAATCAATGATCAATAAATATGTTGAGGAAGTAAAATATTATAGTATATACAGATGAATTTAAAAAATAGAGTAATACTAGATTACCTCATAATTTTCATTTCTTAGTGTGAAAATATTTTATTTGTTTCTTATATTATATATTTGAATAATATGTATATCTCTTTTTTAAATGTTGGGTGAGATCGATCGTATCACAATAGCAAGTAACTAAAAAAAAAATTATTATCATAAGTCAGATATTACATTGGATGAGATAAAATAAAATAAAACAAAATAAAACATTATTCTTCACGAAAGAGGTGGATCCTAAGTTTTTATGTTTATTTATTTAAAAAAATTACAATATTGAAAATACATTATATTTTTTTTTTTGAAAACAAAATACATTATATATATGACTATAATTAAGAAGGAATTGAATGACTTTTGTAGAATTTCCATTGCTTTTCAATAAAGTCAAATATTTCGTCTGATCGACCACGTCATGAAGATTTGGTCACATTCTATGTGTATGTATGTATGTTTGTTTGTTTTTTTAAATACATATTTTATCTTTTATTTATGTTATAATTATTTGTACATAGTTAATTATATTGCGTGGGGTTCGTTGTATATAATATTTTTACGAAAATCTGAGCTATTGCAGTGAGATTTCTTCGCGAGGAGGCCACCCTTAGTGGCAATTCCATTGGTGACCACGCACATACTTACATCACTCCATGAGTTGGGTGAATCAGTAGCCCCTGTTCATAAAAAATCTATCATAATAGATGTAATTTTCATAGTATGACTTTTAGAGTTCGATTTTATGTTATTGTTTATAATATATCACCTAAGAAACAACTGAGCTGTTTGTGTGGACAATATATATTAATTATTAGTATTATAACAACTAAAACATGTATATTTAAATGGATAAGTATATATGTTAGATACTCAAAAGTGCAACTCAAATTTAAAAGTTGGTTCTTATGCTCTTATTGCTTTTCGTGCGGTCATGCGACTTTGCACCACTATGTATGCACAAATACACTATCAGGAAACAATAGTTACACGACTGCACAGAAAACCATAGTCGCACGAGCTATTGCCCATATATATATATATATATATATATATATATATATATATATATATATAATACAGATGAAATGCGGATGGATGTGCTCAGGTGCGAACGTGGGGTGAGATAGGAAACATTATTGGTCTTGCCAAGATCAACGTTCAAGATTAACAAGGATTTAAAAAAAAACATGGTGGCAATTTGGACTTTTTGCATCTAGGTCAAATTTAAGGTGTGTGATTTTTGTGCTTAAGTCACGTCAGTTGTTGAAACTTAAGGTGTGTCGATTTAAAACTTTAGGTGCGTGATTTTACTTCTTAAGGTGCACTGTACCATTTTTTACAATTTGTTTCTTTAATTGAGGACCATATATATATATATATATATATATATATATATATATATATATATATATATACACATACACACACACTATTAGTATTTATTTTAGTGTTGTTTGTTTGGAATGGCCAAGAATGATGGCATCTTCAAAAGTTATTTCGAGATTCTTTCCTTTAATTAACCTACTTTCAGTTTCCTTTTTATAAGTTTAATTGACTTTGTTATAAATAAATAATATTTTGATTAAAGATTTTGTTTTTTTTCAATACCGAAAGTTGAAAATAAGAAAACCGCATGAACCAATATATCAAAGCATACTAACACATTCAATTGTCAAGAGAAAACAGAGATTATATCATGAAATTAGGGATTGTGCGTGGGGATCATAACTTTTATACCAGAGGTTATCACTTTAATTCTTGCTAACACCCTCTCGGTCAAATTCAATGTACAAATACAATTTATCTCTCGTGTGGAGTCTACACATTCTTAAATAGTAATTGCGAGTTTCCTTATAAAATCACCCAATAAAAGAAAGAAAAGTATACGAAATACAATATGAAATTCACTCTATTATTTCATCTCTCGTAATGCATGTGGCTTGGTAAACAAGTAATTGGCCCCTGATTTGCTCAATAATTTTCAGAAATATTTAATATAAATCAGCTGAAATGAACTTGAAGACAGTCTTAATTGAAAAGTTAATATCCATGTTTCCAGGAAGTTGCCAAGCTTTCATTCAATACTTTTCAAGAAATTTTGGAACCATTTTCATATATATATATATATATATATATATATATATATATATATATATATATATATATATATATATATACACACACACATATACATGTTCACATTGGCCATGTATATAAAGAAATTAAAAAACAGAAATAATGATATATAATAGGAGAAAATGACATATTTAACTCTTTAATAATGAGGATATATAGATATACGCGCGATAGACTTTTTTTTTTTTTTTTGAAAATAATGATTTCATTAATAAAAATCAGCAGACAAAAGTTAACAATAAACGGGGGAGGATAGTCAGACCATATCCTACGATCAGACGCACGGGACTTAATCCCTCCATTGTTAATACCTTACTCTTACTCCTTGAATTTTATTAAAGTGAAACTTATATAATAATTGTATTAATTAACAAAATATAGTAAAAAAAAAGTTATAACCATTGATATCCCGTCCTTACTCTAACTCCACTAGAAATATTATTAAAAAAAAAAAAGTTGAACTTCGTATCACACACAATTTTATTTTATTTTATTTAAGATGTAGGGTAATTCAAAATGCAGGAGTGTGGGATTTTTTTTTTTTTCATTTTTTATTTTTTGGCAGAGAGAGTCTGAATGATATATTGATATTGGGTAGAAAAAGATAAAAATGTGTTGATGAACACAAAAGGCATCCCTACTTGTACCTGTATTACGTAGGCAGAAAGATGCCCTTCCTATATATCTTCCAAAAGATTGTGCTACAATTTATGTCTCGTGCCACCACGCATGAAAGACCCATTAATTATTACTTTAATCATTTTTTTAAATTAAAAATTTCAACAAATATATATATATATATATATATATATATATATATATATAAATGAGAACATAGTCATCCAGTAAAAAAAAAAAAGGACAGATCACAACCGCCTATCAAAATTTATTAAGATTGAGAATTTTAGTTAAAAAAGATATAAAGTGAATTTTATAATTATTGTAAATTTCTAAATTTACAATATTTATAGAATTGACCCATAATAGTTGAAGGGCCTATTTGACCCTTTATCCCTTTAATCAACAACACCCAACTATTGATGAATCGGATCAATGTTAACTTTTTTTACATGAGCATATTCTTATTTAAACCCTCTCATATAGGCCTCATTTAAATGAACGTATTCTTATCTAAACTCTCTCATATAAATCTTCAGTTAAATGAAAAAGTAAATATGCGTACATAATATAATCGCCCCGAGAAGAACTGTTTTAGAAGGAATGAGACCCGACAAAAACTTTGTTGTTCTCAAAAGGGGAGAGGTTACTCCCAATTGCTATGGTGAGAATTGATCCCAGGTCTTTGTTTTCAAATTTACTTCTGTGATTAAAT